TTTATAATTTTTAATTTCTTGTATATTGTATTGTAATTCTTTATTTAATTTTTTATTCCTTCTTGTCATAAGCAATCTGACACTTGACAGTTGCTTCTGACATTTGGGCAATTGGTATTGATTGCAAATAATTAATTTTAACATTTGTTTCAACATCGACATTTTTTACAAATTTTATTTATTCATATTAAATCATTTTTATAAAAACTAGATTCTATCACCATTTACGATTTTTTAAAATTGTGATTCCTTTACCAGTTTTAGTGCGCCACAGTTGGCTGTCACAAGTGTCACTTTACCTTTACTATCGATTTCTATTTTTATCCTTGACCAGGACATAATATCCTAAAATATATACCTCCTTTGAAACTATTAAAGACATGTATTATTTATAATTAATATTTTTGTTGTTTAATTTTGTGGTGGTGATAAAATGGACGCTGGCGGAGCCTACGGGGGCGGTAAAGCTGGGGGTACATTCGACCCTATAGCTTTTGTTCAGAGGCCCCCAGTGATATTAAGAGCAGTCTGTTGGGTAAGTAGATAGATTTAATTTGGTAATAATTGGATGAATTTAGTTGTGTGTTGGGGTTTTTTACTAGTTATATGATTTTATGGGGGCGGGTGTTGCTTTTAACATGGCGCTTCGAAATCGATTTTTGACTTTCACCTTCTTCTCAAGATAAATTATATATTAATTAGCTAATTACTATCGTTTTCATTACTTGTTGAATCTTAGTTTTCTTATACTCCTGTTTGTGTTATTGATTTTTGTGTTTCAAGAACTTCTTGCAATTAATTAAATGCATCAGATATTGATTCTTTTGCAATAAACTTCAGGACTATCTTGATTATAAATGAGAAATATTTAAATAATGATAAATTTATTCAGAGATTATTTATTTATTCTTTTACATTTTTCAGTTATTCAGTATCATAGTATTCGGTTGCATATCATCTCAGGGATGGAAAATTGATAATACAACAAAGGAGGACGTCTGCTTGTACAATAATGACTCGAATGCATGCAACTATGGAACTGGAATAGCCGTCATTGCATTCCTTGCTTCCATGGGCTTCCTGGTCGGAGAGTATCTGTTTGAGCAGATGTCCAGTGTCAAGACACGTAAGCATTATGTTCTTGGAGACTTGGGATTCTCAGGTAAAAGATAAATGGATAAAAAAAATATATTTACAATTCTCATATTTATATATGGATTTTTGTTGTAGGTTTTTGGTCATTCCTGTACTTTGTAGGATTTTGTTACTTGGCCAACGCTTGGGGAAAATCAGAGGCCCCAGAGAATGGCTTTGGTGTTAATAATGTGCAGGCAGCTATCGCTTTTTCATTCTTTTCAATCTTCACCTGGGTGAGTTTATAAACTAAATGCATTTTATATAAATTTTTCTATTTTATTTTTTTCTCTAGGCTGGTTGCGCCTTTTTTGCGTTTCGCCGGTTCCGCACAGGAGCCGATTCAGCTTTTGCGCCCTCATACGAAGCTGAACCCAGATTGGGGGTGCCAATGCTGGGGGCTACTCTGTAGGAGGCTTTCCTCAGGATACCACGATGGGCGGAGGTATGGGAGACTACAGGGAGCAGCCCTTCGGTCAGCAACCGAACAGAGGTGGGTTTTAGTAATAGACAGCGTTTTCGAAAGGCAGTTGAGAATATAATATATATATATATATATATATATATATATTTGTTAGTATATCAACTGCCTTTCATAATTCAATTACAATTATTTTACTAGTCGTATAACTACTACTACTTTTTTAGGTCCCACAGACTTCCAACAGCCAACCTATTAAGTTTCGTATTTGGAGACAAAACAAATCTCTGTAAAAAAAACTGATATTATTTTGGGAACACTGAAACTCATATTGTTAAACTATTTTTCATTTCGATCAATTACTAATAATCAATATGTTGCTCGATGCAAGCCAACACGCTAGTCACTCTGTAGAACAACTTTATTTATATAAATAAATAAATTTATTTATTTATTTATCACATTTGTATAGTTAAAAATTTGTGTCTTTTTGCAAAATGGGACAGACAAGAATCAAATTGTAGTTGTTTTTATTACTTTTTTGTCCAATTCGAGACCATTCCATTATTAAATCACCCTTGTGAAGACTTTTGAATCTCCAAAAATCTAATTTAAAATTTTTGTTTTATGAAGTAGTTGTACGAAAAGCTTTATTAACAATTACAAATTTTGTTTTAAAAGTTTACACGTTGTTTTTAAAATTAGTACAATTTATATTTTGCAAAAAAATACATTAATGATAATAATTAGATATTTTGATGTTGCATTAGAAACTTAAGATGTTAAAAGAAAACTTTCTTTGTATTGTTAAATATATTATCGAGTAGGTAAATGTGTATTTGAGGGACACATTTTTATTTGTAAACCAAAGATTAAAAGATTTGTTTGAAATTTAACTAAATAAGTTAAAATTAATGCACTTTGTTGTTTATTAATATAACTGGTAAAAAATAGTTATAGTAAACTTACCATTATTTGACATATTATATATATATATATATATATATATATATATATTTAAAAATAAAGAGATTTAATATATTAGATTTCTTGTATTTTTTATTATATTTTATTTCTTGTGTCCTTTTCAATACATAAATGCTTGCTCGTTAAATAATATATCTAGTAATTGTAAATTTAGTGAGTGTGAGAGGACCTATCTTTGTTGTTTAGATAACTTTTCGACTAAGATAAAGATAACTCTAAAACCCCAAAACCCCTAAAACCATAATATATCGTGTAATAATTGGTAGCTAAACGCAAAATGTAGTTTGTAATATAAAATTATATGTTATTTACTTATTAATGCAATTTGAAATACTTATAAAATGTTCAAAAACTAAGTTATTTGTTATTAGTTGATTTTAAATATTTATTATTTTTTATAATGTAAGAATCTGTAATATGTGTACATTGGAATTAATAATATATATAAATAATATAATTCCTTTGTATATATATTATATGTATATATAAGCAATGATCGTTGTTTTAATAATATAAGAATATTTTATAATCATCGTGTATATTACATATATACAATTATTGTATATATATGCAGTCAATTTGTTGTTTAAATTATGATATTGACAATTATTTAGTTACATTTATTTATTTCTTTATTAAACATTTGTTTCAACTTTGAATAATAATTTGAAAAAAGTACTCTAGACAATTTAATATTTTTACTTATTTTGAAACATTAATAAATTACTTGCAAAATTATACATAATAATATATATGTTGTAATAAAAATAATTTGTAGAAATAAGTTTGATTGGAAAAAAATGTCTAGATTTTGATTTTAATTCCACAATTCGGCTGCTATATATATATAATTATAATTATATATATATATATATATATATATATATATTATATAATATATATACATGTAAATGTATATTTATAATATATATGTGTGTACGTACATATATGAAAATATGCATCTTAATTTGTATAGATAAAAATTGGCAATAATATTTATAATATTTTTCTTTCTGATGCGCAAACAGTATTTATATAATTTTAATGTATTTTATATATATATATATATATATATATATATATATATTATATACAGCAAAACCCGATTAAGACGATTTCTCACCTTTTTTGCCAAAATATATCACCTAAGAAAGATTTTGACGCTTTAGCAATTATAAAATTTTCACCCTACTTCTACCTTTCCTATCATTAATGAAGGAAACAATTGATAAATTCAGTTGTTGTTTTAATAGTAATATCTTTAGGGAGTTTTAATTTTGCAAATTTATCTGAAAATATGCCTTTTCTTTTCCAAGACAACATGATAAAGTAATTTCAGATCAGATATATTTGCCATGTTAGGACTTCTAAAGATCTTAGACTAAATACAAGTAAATACATATGCGAATGTGAATAACTATTATCAAGAGATGGTCTAAATACACATCGGACTAGTACTGGGTCTTAAATAAGTGAACCTAATTGATCTTGAGCAATATTCACTTGGCCCCGATACATAAAATCTCTCACAGCCCTGGTATTTAACATTCTTTAATATAAATCCAGGATGTCCTATTGAAGCCTTATTAGGGATTCAAAATATGGGTTACAGGAAGATAAAACTACTTTGTTTACCATCAGCTAATTTTTATTAGTTGCTAAGGAAAAAGGAAAATTCTGCAGAATCTCGGGTTTGTGTTTGGCATATTAAACTGAAATATGTATTAAATGAAATATGAGAAATCTTAATGAGTGATTTTCTTAAACGGGTAGTACTATATATATATATATATATATATACAAGTATTCAAATAGAAACTCCACCCTATATGTTAAAAGTAATGTTTGTTAAAGTTACTATTTGAACTTATTTATATTTATATTCACTCGCATAGAAAAATCATTTTTATTCTGATACACTATAATATTATGATATTAAAAGTTGTATATATAATTGTGCATATGCAAAATAGGTTTTATGCAAGTCTACTTAATTAAATTGAAGCTCAAAGTTCAATTGCATTAGATAGCAGTTAATAAATCAATTCAAGAGGTCACGAAGACCTTTAATGCAATTGAACAAGACTTAATGTAATTCTATGTCTAATCAATGTCTAAAAATATGGTCGTTCAGAGTCGTACAGTCCAAAAATAATCTAGAACAACAGTCATTTTACAAATATATATATATTAAATATGAAATAACATGAATTTTGTGGTAATTTTTTTCAAATCCAAGCATCATGATGAAAATTGTCTTCTTTCAACCGTTTCAAAGACAATTTTCATAAACTTGTAAAAATAATATAGTAATATAATACTTTAGATTTAATTGTAGTGTTAAGGATACTTATAAGTGTAGGTTTTAAGGTTTTATGTATATGTGTGTATATATATTTATTTAGTGTTTGATATTTATATATATATGCATATATCAGGGTTTTGTTTATTAAATTATTAGCAAACTACTCACTAATCGACTAACTTAAAATCATTAAAACAGAATTTGCTCAAAACCATATAAACATCACCATTTGCAAATTTCCTATTTTAGTGAGTCGATTGCTATTAATAAACAAAACCAACATTTGCCACAAATATATATGTATGATATATTATTTATTCATATATATTTGTCTGATTTGAAAGAAATTACCAATTTCAAAATTCGATTGATAAGTTTCAAGGTTTACATTGATGTTAAAGTAATTAATGTCGTTGAATTTGTGTGTGCGTGTGTGTGTTCAAATTAAATGGGCTTTCTTATATTCGACTTGAGGCCGCCTTGTTGTTTATACGAAGCTCATTTTGGAAAAATATTCGGTGTTTTCGTGTTAAATGTAAAAATGTAAAAGAAAATGTTGAGGTGAAGGAGACGATTATATTTGAATTTTGTGTTAGCAGTGAAGTTTGTGCAAATATAAACGTGAAGTTTGTGCAAACATAAACGTGAAGTTTGTTCATATTTTTTTTTTTAAACAAAAATACATTTATAATTATAATAGTTAGCTAAAAATTTTATGTTTAGAATACTTTGAAATCGTTAATTTCAACAAAAAGTAGTATTATTTTATTTCATACGACATTTTTCTTTACATTTTTGATTTTTTTGTTTGTTTTATGTTGGCCGTGCTTCATTTTGCGCTGACTGTACTTAAACGTCAAATTCGTTTGTTAATGTGCTTAAATATTTATAATTTTGTTAATTACTTATCAATAACGCATATTTATTACTTAAATATTGAATATGTATTAATTAAAATATCGTCTCTCGTTATAATATAAAAATGCATGTTATATCTATATATAAAACCAAAAATATTGTGAAAACTATTTTGCATATGCACTGGTATGTATACAAAGTTTTGAGATTACTGTTTTAAAGCAAATCCGGAACAGGAATTGGTGAAAACCGTTGTTAATTTAAATATAGAGAAAGAATGAATACTTTTTAAAGTTTTCTGAACTTTTTGTTTTTTTTTTTCTTTGCACAATTGTCTATAGAATTAACTTCAGCAAGTAATCTATTTGAATTGAAATATATTTCAAATTAACAACCTTTTTAATAGTTTGCAAAATCTATATTGGGGATATATAGTCACCTTAAACAGTTATCAAGTGTAGTATTCTTTTAATATGTGTTACTTACAGTTTTATTGTTAAAATTTAATAATGAAATTTAATTATTTAACCCCAAAAACCTTTTGCAATGTTATAGTTAGCTTAATGGCCTATACTGACAAAAATTATTTCCTAGAAAAAAATATCAATAGCGCATCTGTTTAAATATATTCCTGGAAGTTCTATTTGAATGCATGTATATATATATATATATATATATATATATATATATATATATAATATATATATATATATATTGGTAATACTTGCAAGTTTATGTGCAAATTCTTAAATTTATTTACTTAACTTTATATATATATATATATATATATAATATAAATTTTATTAGACTAATAATTTCACCATTGTTTCTAATTATGATGCTTTTGCGTTTGAATGTGTTAGCGACTGACAAAAGACAAATATTTTAAGTTATTAATAAATGTGTATGTATATGTTAAACAAAAAACACTAAAACAAACCACTAGTGTTTTATATTTAACTTATTATTTATTCTTTAAATAATATTTACATTGCAGGAATATTTAAAACATATTCAATTAGAAATGTTTTATAAGAAGTTGTTTTTAGAAATCTTGGAGCAGATTTTGTGTTAGTTTTCTGTATACTAAAATGTCTACGTCTTTGGCCCACAGGAAATCCAGGTGGCTGAATTGTTGATCGGGTATGTTTTGGACTTGTATTACATTTTTTTCTAGTTTTAATGCTAATGTTTCCACATCCTGTAAAAAAAATATTTTTATTTCAGATGTAGAGCCGAAGAAATTATAATTGTTTAGATCTTTGAATCATTTTAAGAAACTTTGCTGAAGGACACACAGAATCTAAATAACTTACAAGAAAAAGGAAACTATTCTTGAGAGGATTTGTTTCACAATGGTTAAAAAATTTGTCTATAAACATCTTTATATTTATTTTATACCTCTGGTACAACCAAAATATCATTAGTTCCATAATATATATACATCTTGCAATATATATTGCTCCATGAATATTCCGGAGGTCTTTTGGATCCATATTTTTGCCAATTTTTTAAAACTCCGTAATCAAACTTTGCAAAATTCTCTAGAAAAGAAATAATAATATTATCAAATTTGTTTTTTTATATTAATTTGAATGATTTATTTTCTTAAAATATATCTTTTATTACTTACTAGAATAAACAAGTTGCGAAAAGTGATCCAATTGTTTTGCAGACGTTCCTCCAGGATAATTCTGCAGGATATTTTTAATATTATCCTGAAAACAAATCAAATATTTAAATAATAATATTTTATATAGCTTATTCTTTGTTTTTTTACCTACATAGTTAAATTGGGGCTCGTTTGCGCCCCCCAGGAGAAACAGAAAACCAACACAAATGATTCGAGAGATGTCGTTTTCTATATTCATACAAGATCTTCTCCAAAGTGTTGAATCGTTTGAGGTTTTTGGAAAAAATTCATATACTTGTAGTACCTTAGAAAAAACCTAAGAGAAATGGAATGATAAATACATTACAAAAATGATCAGCAAATTTTGGATCTGGTAAATATCTCTAATTATTTTATTTCTGACCTGTATGATGGGATTAAAAGTAGCAAAAAGTCTAAAAACAGGACTCCTGGTATTCCCCATGTACACAGCTGGTGCCATCAGATGTCCCGAAACAATCTTTGCATTATATTCCGGTCTTTCAGCCAAAAGCACCATCAAGGCGGTGCATCCCTGAGAATGTCCAATATACTGCAACGAATTGTATCCTGTAATCCCCAGGATGGCATCGATGGACGCAGACAGATCTTGGACACCGATTTCATGCCAACTGGGATAACAGACCAATTAATAAAGCATTGATTTTTACTACAATTTGGTGTACCTGAAGTCCCAGAACTCCTTGTCAACATCCGGGTCCAGATACCGGTGAGTCCTGGAGAATGTTGTACCTCGTGAGTTGCCAAGCCAGACATCGTAACCCAGATTGTACAAAATAAAACCTACAATCATAATAATATAATTATATAAATATAAGTTTCAGTATATATTTTTATATTAAAATAATGTTTTATCTTGCCTAGTGATTTTTCTGGATCGTTAACTACAAAGTCAGCAGCTGTCGACATCAGGCCAGGAAATAGCAGCACCGGGTGTCCTGCAGGATTTGGTATTCTGTGCAGGGACAGGATATATCCGTCTCCAGTCGTCACTTTGTACAGTTGTGATGGGTAACTGTTTTTTGATATCAGTTTTAACTGAAAGATAAAAAACAGATGCAAGATCTACATTTTATATTTAGGTAAGAGTTTTCATTTATATATATATAATATATATATATATATATATATATATATACATATATATTCATATAATTATTTAATTTTTCAAGAAGAGACTATAAAATTATAAAAATTATATATAAAGTTTACTCTAGAGCTTTAATTTTATCAATATATTATTAAGTATCAACTTTTGCATCTATTATTATTATAAAGCTTTGAATTTGCAAATAAAATCATTGGTTTGAGTATTCGCTTGATAAATAATTAAATTAATTAATAATCAAACCAATATTTGTGATACAAGTAAACTGTTGATGTCTTTGCTTAAATCAACAGTTTAATTTAATAAGTTTAGAAAAATATATTTTTATTTATTTTTAAAAAAAACAACAATATTGGTTATGGGGTTTATTTTACTGTTGTTGAGGTTTATTTTTGTTCTAAGACTTTAATTTCCTTAAAATTTTAATATCAATTTTTTTACAATATACTTTATATTTGTTTCTTTATCCTTTTTAACAAATTTATAAGTATTTTTACCTTATTAGTGATAAGTCCATAGGATTTTATCGAGTTTGCTTGATATAATATAATTTAATCAATAATTAAGAGAGGATTTTTTGATGTTTTATAACATTTATAACATAATGGCCAGTAATAATATATCCAACTACTTCAAAAATAATAATTATATATCTTAATACTATTAAATTAACGTTTAATTACAATATATCCTATGAGGTTTAATTTTCTGAAAATTTTAATATCATTATTTTCATCTCAATTTTAATATTAGAGCGGAGTCTAATTTTTTATGTTGAGACTTTGTTTTTATGAAAATTCATTTATTTTAATATTAGCTTGTGTTTTTTCATTATTTTGAGGATTTTGAATTTCTGACTTTTTCTTTGAGGATTTTAAACTTACAATTGGACTTTTTATTATTATAAGACTGTTTTTTAATTTGTAAGAGATCTACAACTAAAATGTTAGCAAGGATTTTATTATTATTTTGAGACATTGCAATCGTGAAAATACATCAGTTTTAATTTTAGCTTGATGTTTATTATTATTGTAAGACTTTTATTATTTAATTCGTAAGAAATCATCAATTTAAATATTATCATGGGCTTTATTATTATTTTGAGACATTGCAATCGTGAAAATACATCAGTTTTAATTTTAGCTTGATGTTTATTATTATTGTAAGACTTTTATTATTTAATTTGTAAGAAATCATCAATTTAAATATTATCACGGGCTTTATTATTATTTTGAGACATTGCAATCGTGAAAATACATCAGTTTTAATTTTAGCTTGATGTTTATTATTATTGTAAGACTTTTATTATTTAATTCGTAAGAAATCATCAATTTAAATATTACCATGGGGTTTATTATTATTTTGAGACATTGCAATCGTGAAAAAACATAAGTTTTAATTTTAGCTTGGTGTCTATTATTATTGTTAGACTTTCATTATTCAATTCAAAGAAAATCTACAACTAAAATATTACCATGGGGTTTATTATTATTCTGAAACATTGCAATCGTTCAAAAACACCAGTTTTAAATTTGTGTATCAGAGTATATTATATTGACACTTTGATTATGATAAAAAATTAAAAAACAATGAACATACTGGTTTAAAAAAAACTTACCACACCATCGGGTTCTGTTAAGGATAAACGAACACAACATTTTATTAAAAGTACTTGCAGAACTATTTGAATTAAGTACATTTTTAATTACAAACTATTTTATATATATACATATACATAAATGTAGTAATTGTTAAACACAATATATAACTCGTTTTGCGTTTAATTAATATTTTAATTTTATTAAGGTAATAGTCTTATGGGGATTTAATATACTTAAATTCATATTTGTGTTTTGTTTATATGTTGCAATTTTATACATTTACTTAGATTTTTTTACATTTCTTAGAAATTTCTTATGAGTTAGAACTATTTTAGTTTCTTTAAGTATATTGGTTAACAATTATATCGAATATGTAATAAACTAACTTCCTTAATAAATAATTTGAATTTTCTTACGAGTTAGAACTATTTTAGTTTCTTTAAGTATATCGGTTAATAATTATATTGAATACGTAAACTATACTAACTTTCTTAATTAAAATTTCAATTTTTGTGTTCAATGTAATTATTAATGTTGATTTAAATTTATTAAATTCATACAAAGACTTATATAGTTTATATAATATATATATATATATATATATTAATAAGATATTATTTCTTTAAGTTTTTAGTATTTTTATTTTTACACCTTTATTTTGTTACTATTGATTTTTTTTAAATTTATTTTGAGAGAACAGATTCAAATTATTTTAACCCATTGAAATCGAATTATTTTTTAACATTCTAATAATATTATAATTACAGTTCTTGCATTTTTTACTTATAATAATTATTACTTATTAATTAAAATTACATTTTATAATTCTTTGATTTCCTTTGCCAGTTTTGAGATTTTTAAAACTTTTATTTTAACTATTATATTTTTTTTTAATAAAATTAATTATATTTTTTAAGAAATGTTAAATGTATTAATTTATTTTATTCTTGAGATTCTTTTATTACCTTTGATATTTTCTTTATCAATTCATATATTAAGTTTTATTTGAACCTGATTTAATATAATTATAATTTTATTGTTGAAAGTGTTAATTTATTTTATTCTTTAGATTATTTTATTAACTTTAGTATTTTCCTTTTTTAATTCTTATATTGAGTTTTATTTGAACCTGGTTTATTATAAATATAATTTTATTATTTACTGCTTTAATTTATTTTATTTTTTAGATTCCTTTATTAACTTTGATATATTATTTTAACAATTCCAACAACAAGAATTTAATTTATATTTACATTTATTACAATTATAATTTAAAACTTGATTTATTATTTTGGTCTGTTTCCTTTACAGAGACGATTCGTCGAATGCGTTAGGAAAGAATTTCGTTTCGTCGGATATGATTTGTTTGCAATAATTTTCGTTGGAATTGGTAAATAGAGATGTACATGATGGTTACATCGAATACATCGAATACATCGAAATGTCTTTAGGGGACATTTCATAAGTCACGACGTTGACATCAATCGTCGTAATCGTTATCTATTGTGCCTGCAATTGCAATTGCAAATGCACCGACGATTGCATACACTTTTGCATATCGCGCCGATTGGAATTTTAGTCTGGGGGAAATGGAGAGGAAATTGGAGGAAAAAGGAAATTTGGATGAAATATTGTTCCAAAGGATGTGCTACTGGTAAGTTTTATAATTATTAACTTCCCGTAGGGCAATCGAAAATGAAAATTTTTATATATCTTTACGTTTCAAAACCTTCTGAACATTTTGGCATACCTTACAATAAGAAAAAATGGATTTATGTGTATGTATGTGTGTGCGTGTATGTGTGTGTGTTCGGATACAAATTTTTGTCGACGATTTCGGCACCACGGATAAAGCGATTTGAATAATTCAAAAAACATTCGATTTGTATTGATAGAGAGACGTGCTGATTAGTTTTTGGCGAAGGCAGGTCTAGCCGTTCCGTGGGGCAAAAAGTGCCAAAAACGGTAACTCAGTTTTTACAGAACGGAGCGTCCGATTTGAATAATTCAAAAAATTATTTTACTTGTATTCACAAGATGAAGTACTGATCAAATTTTCATGAAAGCAGGTCTAGCGGTTTCAGAGTTATCTAGTAAAAAAAGTAAAAAAAAATGCCATTTGGCGACCAAAAATGATCATTAGACATATGCACATCAAATTATCAGATATTTTACAGTGATTTTAACAATAAGTATAAATTTTGTTACATTCCTATGGGTTCCGTACCAATGTTTATCCGTTAGACGGCGACGCGGCGTTTACGCGCTTCAATATTTCTTCTCTTTACAGTTAAAGCAGTACGATTGCTTTGAAAAAAAGTTCAGGATTTCCAAAATATTTCAAAATAAATTTTTCTTCAATAAGTCTTTTTTTTTTAAAGAAAGTAAATTTTTGTCAGAAATTTATAGTTTCTCAAAAATCTAATTTTTTCAGAGTAAATTTTTTTCAAAAATGTTAATTTATTTTTAAAAAAATAATTTTTGGTAGGGGAAGTTCCAGCAATTTGCCTTAAGGCACGATGCCATACACCTCTAGTTATTTTTTGTTTAATTTATAATTATTTTTAAAATATAAGTATTTTGTTTAACAAATTTATAAGTGTTTTTACATTATAACACAACACATTAATAAGTCCATAGGAACTCGTAGAGTTTGCTTGTTATAATATAATTTAATCAATAATAAAGAAAGGATTTGCTTCATATTTTGTAACTTTTTATATTTTATGGCCAATTACAATATATTATACTACTATTAAATTAATAATTATATATCCTACTACTATTACTAAATTAATAATAATTAGTTAAAATATTTCCTTTGGACTTAAGTGATGTGTTAAGTATTTTTTTACGTTTTTACAATAAGTTAATAAGTATTTTGTTTAACATTTTTAGAATTTTTATAATGCATTTAATATTTTTTTCTTCATCCTTTTTAACAAATTTATAAATGTTTTTACATTATTAGTAATAAGTCCATAGGATTTTATCGAGTTTGCTTGATATAAATATATTTAATCTGATAATTTATAAAGGATTTGTTTGATTTTTATAATATTTTATAATGGCTAATTACAATATATATTACTACTATATATACTACTATTAAATTAATAATTATATATCATACTATTACTAAATTAATAATAATTAGTTACAATGTATCTTGCGGACTTATTGAGTGAATGTGCATTAAAGTATTTTTATTTTTCAATGAGTAAATAAATATTTTGTTTAACAAAGTTTCAGGTATTTTTATAATACATTTAATATTTGTTTCTTTATCCTTTTTAACATATTTATAAGTGTTTTACATTTTTATTAATAAGTTTATAGGATTTTATCGAGTTTGCTTGATATAATATTAATCGACAATTAAGAAAGGATTTTCTTCATAATATTTTATAATACCCAGTTACAATATATCCTACTACTTAATAACTAAGATCTTTATATTGATAATTAATTAAATTAATATTACATACTATGGCCTTATTGAGTAATGTGTTAAAGTTAAAGTATTTATTAAATTAAGTTAAAAAGTATTTTGTTTAATAGAGTTTTAAATAATTTTACAAAATACTTAAGAGTTTTCACTTTTTTTTGTTTATCAATTTATAAGTATTTTTATGATATAAGTATCAATATTTTTTTATTATTTGTATGTTGCATGAGAAGCTTTTGTATAAGAAAAATGTACCATCATTTAATATTAATATTAACAAATATTTTGCAATTGCAATCAATTATACTGTTATACTAATGTCTTCTAACTTTAACTCGATTAATAAAGATATCGATATTCACAATATTTCACTAAATAAAATAAATCTCCTTTGCCTCAACTTAATTTTTATATTTCTTTTCAAGTATTTTATTTTATTTAATTAGATTGTTTAATTATGTTGTATTCTGATTATAATTGTATTCTTAAATCTTCTTAGAATTGTTCTGTGGGATTTGTAATAAAATTATTTAAATACATTTCACAGTACATATACTAAAAACACAAACACTAAGTAATACAGTTTTTGTGTATATCGATATCCATTTGTCATTTATTTATGCATAGACATTTCACTTAGAGTATATTTTATTCAGTATTGTAATTTAATTAAACTATTTATCAGAAATAATCAATACCCCTTAAAGATTGCATTTATCTTTACTATTCATTCTAAGTATTCCATTAACCATAATTTTTTGTCCATTTTCTCCAGACTAAATGGCATATTATTAAATAAATTAAATGTACATTATCAGTACATTTGTTTTTTTGCTTTTAATTAAATATATTTGACGCAATTTGATGTTTTGTTCATTTTATTTAACAATATATAATTTTTTTTAGATAACACACACGATTTCGTTGGACTTATATTGGGAAAGGAGTGCTTTTGGAAGGGCTTGATGGATCTGGATGAAAAAAGTTGCAGATGATGGACTGCTTGCATATATATATATATATATATATATATATATATATATATATATATAGATATATAACTACTTGGTGAGACAAGTTAACAAATGCAGTCCTAAGAAGAGTGGTCGAAGAAAGATATACTGAGCACGATTCTGAAAGGGAAAGGAAACTGGATCAGACCCATTCAGCAAAAAGAGTGTCTCATGCACTACGTCATTGAAGGTTAAATAGGACTCAATAGTCTGAAAGGACTGAGAAAAGAAGAATTAATAAATTAATTAAGAAAACATATTAATAATGGTAATGGGAATTATATAAAGAAGGAAAGAAAATCTTTGATTTGCCCTCAGGCAGACTACTATTCATTACTATTATATATAACACAACATCCTTCAATAAGTCCAAAAGGCTATTTATTTATTTCAATATCCAAATATAAATAATCCTACCGATGTTATATAAAGTCACTTTTACTGTTGAAAGAAACTTGAGAAATTTGCTTATTTTGAATACCCAATATTCTATTTTAATGCCTTAAACAATCTGTAATATTATTATAAGATTTTTTATTCTATTTATCATAAATTGCACTATATATTTTTAGTATTATTGAAGTATTGAAGATTTAGTATTAGTAATAATTTTATTATTAGAATTAAGATAATTTGT